TTTACCCTGTTCCTCTTCTTAGTCTCCCCATTCTGCCGGGCCTTATAATAAACTTATAGTCTTATGTCTCATGTCTCAGAATTTCTCTTTTCTTCTTTTTCAACAAAACAATAACACTGCCCAGGCCTCCCAACTGACGCCCATGTTCAGGGGGCCTGGTTTGGTCCTATGCTGGTTCCCCAGTTGTCAGACTGGGGTCCTTGAACTTGAACTTCCACTTGCTCAGATCAGTTGTTTCTGTGGTTTCCCCAGCGTGGTCTTGACCCCTTTGCTCATCATTCCTCCTCTTCAGCTGGATTCCAGGAGTTTGGCTCAGTGCTTTTTTTTTTTTTTTTTAACTATGAGCTCAACCCATTGTTGTAAATCTTTAGAATACCTATTTATTTATTTATTTATTTATTTATTTATTTATTTTTATGTGTTTGTGAGTTTTATCTGCATGTATGTCTATGCACCATGTTCATGCCTGGTGCCTCTGGAGGCCCTGGTTATGAGCTGCCATCGTGAGTGATGGGAATTGAATCCAGGCCCTCTGAAAGAACATCCAGTGCTCTTAACTGCGGAGCCATCTTTCCAGCCCTGTTTGTTTTTTAGTCTGTTTCTGTAGTTTCTAAAAATCTGTCTGTTACATCTAAATTGTCATTTCTTAGTATACAGTTACATATGTTATTTCTTTGTAACCACTTTTTTTGGGGGGAGAGTTGGGGTGTTGAGACAAGGTTTCTCTGTGTAGTCCTAGCTGTCCTGGAACTCATTCTGTAGACCAGGCTGGTCTGAACTCAAAGAAATCCACCTGCCCCTGCCCCAAGTGTTGGGATTAAAGGCATGCACCGCCACTGCCTGGGTGTGTGTGTGTGTGTGTGTGTGTGTGTGTGTGTGTGTGTTATAATGATCCCGTTTATTTCTGTAAGGTTGGCAGTAAGGTCTCCATGTTCTTATGCCTGCCCCTCCCTGTGTGCGTTAACTGACTTGTAACTTAACTGTGAGCTGAAGATAACCTTGAAGTCCTGATCCTCTGCCTGTCCCTCCTGTGTGCTCAGAGTATAGTCATTTGCTTCCTGGCTCTCATTCCCCTATTATTCCTGATTAGTAGAATCAGAATTGAGTCTCCCTTTTTTGTTTTTGGTTTTTTGTTTGTTCATCTTGTTGATTTTCTTTGTTTTTTTTTTCTTCTTTCTGTTTGCTTTGGCTGTTCTTTCCCCAGTGTCTTAAGGTAAGATAAATACTTAAGATAAGTTGTTTATTTAATATGTTTGTTTTTCAGTAGTGGGAATTGTATCTACTGGGCAAATGCTCTACCACTGACCTATATATCTCCACTTCTCTCTTTACCTTTTGAACATGGGTCTCATTTTTTTTTTTTTTAAGAATTTTATTCCGACGGTCGTTCCCAAAGACGAGAACAGCCCCGAGTTTCCAAAACAGGCAGTTCTTCTTCTTCTTGTTCTTCTTCTTCTTCTTCTTCTTCTTCTTCTTCTTCTTCTTCTTCTTCTTCTTCTTCTTCGATTTATTTATTTATTTATCATGTATACAATGTGTGCCAGAAGAGGGCACCAGATCACATTACAGATGGTTGTGAGCCACCATGTGGTTGTTGGGAA